GCTTTCACAGTCCAGGACCACCAACGCAGGAAGACTGTAAATCAGCCCAACGAACAGAGACAAAGCCCGGGGACCAGTCACTGTCCTCAATCAGCTGATCACTGTCCGTGTTTCTGAACAACTAGACTACAGGGAGCCAGACAGGCGTTAGTACTGACCCCTGAAAGCCTGTCCTAAAACAATGGGATGGTGGGAACCCCTCATAATGGGCACAGCGTGTGTACAGACCCGGGAACTCCGCACAGGGATGGTGGGAGCCCCTCATAATGGGCACAGCCGGTGTACAGACCCGGGAACTCAGCACAGGGATGGTGGGAGCCCCTCATAATGGGCACAGCCGGTGTACAGACCCGGGAACTCAGCACAGGGATGGTGGGAGCCCCTCATAATGGGCACAGCCGGTGTACAGACCCGGGAACTCCGCACAGGGATGGTGGGAGCCCCTCATAATGGGCACAGCGTGTGTACAGACCCGGGAACTCAGCACAGGGATGGTGGGAGCCCCTCATAATGTGCACAGACCCAGGAACTCAGCACAGGGATGGTGGGGGCCCCTCATAATGGGCACAGCAGGTGTACAGACCCGGGAACTCAGCACAGAGATGGTGGGAGCCCCTCATAATGGGCACAGCAGGTGTACAGACCCGGGAACTCAGCACAGAGATGGTGGGAGCCCCTCATAATGGGCACAGCAGGTGTACAGACCCAGGAACTCAGGACAAAGATCTCACCAGCAGAGTCCTTCAGGTAGATGAAGCCCATGACCTATATATCAGTTCATGGTGGAGCGGCCCTCTAGTGGATACAGCTGCTCTATGGGTATCTATGGGGGCAATACAATTACGGTATTTACTGTAAGGTGGACATACAGAAGTCGTCACCGGAGACCCTGAGAGCGCAGCGGCCCCATGCGGGAAGGGCCAGTAACCTGAGCGTGACCCGCTGCTACAATCAGAGCTTGTCTCTTTGTGTTCATTAGTGAGCTGCATCTGTTGGGAATCCTCTGTGGGACTCTCGGCTCACCGGGGCCCCCGCAGAACAAAGGGTCCATTCTGTGTCTGAATGGATGGGAACGTACCTCAGGAGGTTCTCAGCGCCGGCCCTCATCCGCATGGCTTTCAGGATCTGATTGTTCAGGCCGGCCCTTTGATTCTGCAGCTTGCTGCGGCCCGTCTGTGCGATGGATTTACCCTGCGGAAGAGATGAAAGCAGATCAGTCGCATTCCTTCCAAGACAAACTCTTGCTGCAAAAACATTGTGTGCCCCGGCCCGTACAGGTGGCAACAGTCCGCCGCCTCCCCTCCATCAACAGTCCGCCGCCTCCCCTCCATCTACAGTCCGCCGCCTCCCCACCATCTACAGTCCGCCGCCTCCCCACCATCTACAGTCCGCCAAAAACATACTACAGGAGATGGTCAGAGACTGCAGGCATACTACAGGAGATGGTCAGAGACTGCAGGCATACTACAGGATATGGTCAGAGACTGCAGGCATACTACAGGATATGGTCAGAGACTGCAGGCATACTACAGGATATGGTCAGAGACTGCAGGCATACTACAGGAGATGGTCAGAGGGTGCAGTCATACTACAGGAAATGGTCAGAGGCTGCAGGCATACTACAGGATATGGTCAGAGACTGCAGGCATACTACAGGAGATGGTCAGAGGCTGCAGGCATACTACAGGAAATGGTCAGAGGCTGCAGGCATACTACAGGAAATGGTCAGAGGGTGCAGTCATACTACAGGAAATGGTCAGAGGGTGCAGGCATACTACAGGAGATGGTCAGAGGCTGCAGGCATACTACAGGAAATGGTCAGAGGCTGCAGGCATACTACAGGAAATGGTCAGAGGGTGCAGGCATACTACAGGAGATGGTCAGAGGCTGTTGATATGCTAGAGGCATGGTTGGAGACAGGAGATGATCAGAGACTGAGAACATGTTACAAGACACTGCTAGAGATCACTGCCATTGCAGTCCCTTTACAAATCAGAACTTCCAGTCACACTTCTGGGGGTCTGGGGGCCACACAACAGGTACCAAAGGGCTGCATGTGGCCCTCAAGCCACAGCTTGGGCACCAAGGTTTTAGACAATGGCCAGGCTCAGCACTGTGATGAAAGGCGGGTGGACTCAGGCTGGGCAGAGGCAGGAGAGGCCTCAGGTGCTGTGGTGGTGCAGTTGCAGCGGGAGGTCTGTGTCCCTTCAGCAGTGACAGGTACACTTGAACCCTCCGCAGGCTGAGCAGTCCTCATACACTGTGCTCGGGATTTACAAGGACGCAAAGTAACAATTGTCTCCCATCAAATCCGTGACCACTTCCTGCGCCCCCCGAACTTAACAGGTCCCTCAATAGATCCCTTTCATCTGTCCTTGTTTAATAACCCCTCATAACCCGCGTCACTCCCCGGCGAGCGCACTGCGTGGGATCTATTAAAAGCAGCAATGATGTAATCACACAAAGAGGTGACAGCGTGCAGCACGGCCCAGCCACCCCGTCCCGGGGATGTCCTGCCTCCTCCCCCGCCATATAAAATGAAGGAAAAACATTCCAAACCTGTCCCTATAAATGTTTTAGGGGCTCATCAATGATGGCGAGTACTGGCCTGACATCACACGGCCCTCCGCTCTTCAATGGGAGTTACTGAGCCGAGGAGAACATGTCACCTCCAACGTGGACAGAAGAGAACTTCTGGAGGCCGCCATTACCGACCTTCCGAAAATGCTGATTGCCTGGCCTTCTCCGGAAAGTCAAGTCACATGGCATGGTCAGCTCTAAAACTTCTTCAGTAGAGGAATAGACTATAGAACAATCTCTCTCTATATATATTATACTGTATCCATCCATCATCTATAT